GTATATATATATATTCTACTGGCTTATCAAGTTGTTTAGTTTGTATGCTAAACAGTTTAATGATGCTATATACAGCCACATACTCTGAGTTGGCAGTTCACTGGGTAGACATAGTTAAAACTAATGCAGTCTAATCCAACAGTCCTTGAACTGTATTGCAGAGATGTTTCTGTTTTAGGCTATCGTTATAGATACAAATGGGGCAGACAAAATAATATAAACTCTTGTCAGTATAAAGCAGTACTGTTAAACAGCACCACAAAATACATCTTCCAAAATGATCATACAATTGAATCAAGATCTCACTCAAACACTTTCAAAAAAATTGTAACTATCACCTTGATGAAAAAGAATTGAATGCAGCACTGTTGTAACAGACTGCATTAGTTTTAGATTGGTGTACCTAATAAACTACCAACTGAGTGGAATATAGAGAGACAGAAAAATGAGCACTGATAAAGAAAACATAGAGAGCTCATGTTACGATATCACTGTAAAGACAATTGCAATTTAACCAATGTTGTCCATTGTTATCATCAGTTACTGTGATAATTATTGTATTCATCAGCATATTAACAGACACTGTACGACATCAGGGTCTATTCTATTCTATTCTAGATTGCAATGTCAAACTGCTAAAAGGTGAGTCCATCAGTCCCTGTGTGTGTCCGAATTTCTCTGTCATTCAGGGAATGAGTCATCAGACACATCTCCTTTTCTGACCAACAGTCCTCAGTGGTGGCAACATACACATACATTACCCACCCACAAATATACCCGACACAAATCACATAGTTCCCGTTCTGGTTTCTAATCACTCTATTACCCAAAAACCCTGACTCACAGGAAATCCTTTCGGCCCGATATAACAGTAAGCATTTTCTGCCTGCTGCCTTCACGTGCCTAGCCCTGCTTTCTGAATACATTCATAGATAGTCTGTTTATTTACCAGGATATTTGTTGATTTGCCTGCAGCCTGGCAACTTGTATTGTGGTGTAAGTGTTTAGGCTGTGGCTGACACAATCGCATATAGCAATACACATACAAACATACACACACACATGAATGCCCACGTGCACACACACACACACACTCATACCTAGACAACTGGTGATGAGTGATAGCCTACCTGTTTGGTTAGGAACAAAAAGTTGGATTGACAGTTTGTCAGGACTTTGTGCCAACCAGACATTTGGCTCTCTTTGGGAATTTCTGCTTTTTTTCTCTCAATTCTGACTTGTTAAGATTGGAGCCACCTGCAGGGCAAGGAGGTGAAGAGACAAAGATGCCGTTAAGTCAAAAAAAAGGCCTTTCTTGTAGTAATGAGTAAAGGAAGAACTGGAAAAAAAAATAGATCAGCAGTTTGTTTCAAGTGCCTTGATGTGAAAATAGAATTGATGTGAGCTGCCTTTTTATAATCATGCTTTCATAAAAAATATGAAACAATATATTTTAAAAATTAATTTTGCCACATTTTTAGCAGGTCTGCTGTTATAATTGCCTTGTCTTTGCAGTACATATTGCAAAACTGACCAACTTTCAGCTTCAAAATAGGTTGAAATTCATTATTTCACAGGTCCAAATATTCATTTTGTCATAGTTTATTTTACAGGTGACAATGCATAATGGTATTATTCTAAAGAAAATATGATAGAGCTTAATTTCAACAAAGTGTTTGATCTAATTTCTTCATGGGCTGTGAACCTGTAGCTGAGGCAATTGACTTATTCTCTCTCACACACACACACACACACACACAGTGAGAGTACTCACACTTGCAAACAAAAAAGGATTTATTACTTTGTTTCTCTTAAATTTAATTGCAAAACAATAACACATAAATAGTTATGTGTGTCCACAAAGTATTCACAATTTACAAAAACACGATTGGAAAACTGTGTAGCTCTAAGCTGTGACTGCCTGTGAACTACCGCCAAGCTACTGCCACAAAGTGTTTAGTGTTGCTAAATGTTGACAGTGGTCCTGCATGTTGATGAAAATTCAAAATCATTACAAATAATGAGCAATTACAAATATACCTGTAATTATCTTGAATAATCCTGACTCAACCATAACATAAGGA